CCTCCGGACCGGACTGCTCTGGCCCGGCTCCGGCAGGGCCCTGCTCCGGTCCCCCAGGACGCTGGGGCCTGGCTGTGGCGCAGGCCAGAGCGGCAGCGATGACGAGGAAGCTCTTCATGGCTGGCTGGTGGGTGAGGTGATGCTCAAGGCAGAACTTCTGGCCGTTTTATACGGGTCGCCTGTGACTGAGCACAGCTGCCCCCGTCACCGGGCGCTGTGCCGGCACTGTCATCCACATGTGGCCGCTCTCTACCCAGTCATGGGATGGCTATTGTATGCAGTAGACGGCCCATCAAATTTGGCTCACAAGAGGATTCTGCTCATCGCTCGCATGATAATTTGCTTTTATTTCGTATTTTCGTCTCGTAGTTTTTCTGACGTCCTGTTTTCGTTTATCATCTCAAGTCTCTGAATGTTGCGCTACCGGACATAAGAACCTAGCGCACGACACGGTACTCTTCCGACCCTGCCGCCCCGGAACACGACGACGATAGTCTGCACCAAATACTTTGCGAGTTCGCGGGCGTCAAGCTCAGGAACCAGACGGTTTGAAGGCTTGAAAAGACAGGGTTGTGAACTGAACTGAATCATCGTTAAGATGGCTATCTCAGTTCAAAACCCCGTACAAATGTGGGACACTCCTTTCATGAGACATTGTTGAAAACTAATGACAATCGCAATGAAGATGAAACCTATCATACGCACAACCCCTGTTATTGAGGTCATAAATTCTATGTTTTGCAGGCATAAATAGAGAACTTCTACGCCATACATTGCTTAGCTTCGACAACTTCTGCGCAGGTAATACAAAAGTAGTAGCGGGCTGTATTGACAACCGAGTGCGGCTGGGGCTACGCAAAACACGGTTTCCTTTTCAACTCACTTATCACTGATATTGATTGCGAAGAATTGTTTGTGCATGAAACAAGAAATTTTGAGTGCATTGCACCCCCACAACAACAGTCAAGTGCATTGTGTACCTGTGTTTATATAAATGAACGACCTGTCTGCTGCTCAGCGAAATCCGGCCAAGTTTGGAAAATTTGGGCTGCTATTCTTCAGTTTTTTTCAGTGAGATGATTGCCTAACGCTGCTCAAATTGTGCGACCTGATTTACTGGTATGTCATTTCTGCCACGGGATGCTGTCAATGATGACCTTGTAAAGTAAGACTACTATTTTTTCAGAACTGTTTTGTGCTTGGTAGCGCACACTGGTCTTTGAATTCTTTGAACATCAGAAATAACCGCAATAATATTTTCTTTGTGCAAAAGGCCGCCAAGTCTAGCGCACACCCTGGCCAAAAGCCCGCAGGTTCTTGACGGTCAGACAGCGGCGGGTTGACGGGCTGCAATGTTGCGTCTCTAGTTCTTACCGATAGAGTTTCGGGGCGTAGAGTTTTGAGTTTTGAGTTTTTTGATAGAGTTTCATTTAGTTTTGATATTTGATATAGTTAGATTTGATAGAGTTTTGAGCCACAAAGCCGATCAATACAATGGTATCAGGCTCTGTTATATTTACAACTATTGAAACTTCTGCATGCAAAAGTCAACATTAAATATGGCTTCTGCATTTCACGACAAACGACGAAGCCAGTAGTGCTTACGATGGAGGCTTAGTCGGACCACCTGCACGCACTGCCAGCAATATCGATGAGCTGGCGATGATAATCAGCTACCAATTCGCATATAATGCCCATCATGTTTGGCAAATATGACAGCGCTGAAGATTCAACGCACCTCCCCAACAGGCTCAGGGCTGGCTGTTGTAAGCTGATCTTAACATTCAACTGCATGACTGCTGTAAACATAAACAGTTACATTTTCGGACACAAGACATATATGCCCTCCATGCCATTCCCGCTTAGAGTGTTAACTCAACCATGCTGACATGACTATTTATTTGTATGGAAGTATGCGTGGCGTTCCTCCAACACTTACTGGGTTTAAATAGTTACATGCTTGCTACACAATACTGGACATATATACGAAACAAAACCCGATACATTATGCCGACAGCTTCTCATGCGGTTAAAGTCACAAAACAAGATGCATGATATAATGTTTCTCAAATGCCGTCATAGCGGTGAACGTGACCCAAAATATTGCAAAGGACGGAAAAGGGCTCAAAGGATGTGTAAGACGCTGCAGTTATGTGCTTTAAAAGCCTCAGTCACAGGAGCGGATCAGGATCCACCACTACCGGAGAAAGCTGTCAGGAGCGAGGCCATAAGTCGAGGGCACCTTCCGTGACCTAAGGCAAAAACTGAAACTTGAGCAACCCGACCCTACGGACTAGGACCCTAAGCAATGCGTTAATGATCATTGCGCTTGCTTATGTACCGAATCAATATACTTGCACGTGCATGACCGAAGACCTATCAGGCACAGGCACAGATGCCATTCGTTTCGTCGCGAGCGTACTACTGAAGGATGCGATGCGTTATCAAAGTATTTAAGGTCTAAGCAGAATAAAATAGCCAAAGTGAGTCTGCACCGTGTACACAACTGGTATTGCGGGGCATTCTTTAGTAGCAGTTGACAGCTAACACCATGCCCTGGCTGGTCTCAGTGGCAAACGCGCTGTGAGCTCTGGGAGCGGCGCTCCCAGAGCTCACTGCTGGATTAGTCGACAGTTAACACCATGTACTGGCTGGTCTCAGTGATTTTTTTAAGGATCTGATCCGAACCCTCTGAATGAATGGACTTCAGGGATCAGCGCTCACGCTAAGCAGTGCTTGTCGTGTGATCCCTGACCCCTACCACCCGATCGCGCAATTCCATGCCAACGCATACTTTGGTGGCGAAAGCTTAACGTGCTGCAATGCTCGGCACGGTCCGTCCTGCCCTCTGACGTCAACTGACCTTCAGCGGGACCGCTGCCACCGGCCGCAGGCCATACCTGTCAAGGCCAAATAGCGAACGCCATAAAGCGACTCGAACCCACCCCGCCACGGGTGGTGGATCGGAAGGCAAGCGCTCTGACCAATTGAGTCACTGGGACGGACATTAATTGCCTCAGACCATGGAAAATTGGCTGCTCGTAATTCTAACTTGTTTAGCTTCTTAAGTAAGTGCTTTCTTCCTAAGTGTACGATCACCCTATTGTACTTTTGAAGCTATGAAGCTGATATAAAGTTGCTTATATTGACAGTTTTATTCTAGTGTGAGTCGCAATTAAGACTGATAGAAAGCAATGCTTGAAATGCGCACCTGTTCCATAGCTCCCTAGGCCAGATCAGGACAAACTTACGACTGAAATGTCATGCTAGCCACCATAACATAAGCAAGAACATCTGGCATGTAGCAGTTGGAGCAGGTACCTTCCAGCCAAGTCCCTCCGCCAACTCTGAGAAGAAATTTGCCCAAGTTCAGGGAGAACATGGTTAGCAGTATTTATTTAGTCTCACGATTTTCTCTGCTCCAGAATTGACACACAAAACTACGCGGTCCGGGACGCCAGACTACTGCGTGACTCGGTCAGTGCTGCGGGGGCGGAGCTGCGGAGGCTCGGAGGTCGATGCGGCAGGGGCGGTGGAATTACTTCCACCTTACCGGGCAAACCAGCCCTATATAGTTTGCACCGCTGCATCTACTCACCGACGTTGAGTCTGCGTAAATACCAAATACTACCGTTATAAATACTAAATATATGTTATAACTACTAAACATATATTATAAATACTAAATAAATCAACACCGTTATCACTGAATGATGCTGAGCTGAATTTTTATATCGTCTTTATGTATATTATCAATCAATCCTACTACCACTGCCCGACACGGCTCCCGTACGGCCTTTTCTAAATCAGCGTCAGAGTACTACAGAAATGATGCGCGCAGAGCAGTAGTCTCCAACGTCAGAGCCGCTGCCAGTAATTTATCGGTCTCCATGTTGTTTTTCTAGGACCTCGATGAGTTGTACAAATAATTGTCAAAACCTAGTTTAAATAAAGGGTGAATCTAAAAAACGCAGCTAATTATTTCAATAAAAACCACAAGCCCTGCCAAAAGGAGAACAAGAAATCCTGCTTTAGCTTTACACCCATGAAGATAATGTAGGCGAAACGTTCTACATGCATCTATATCTCCTTTCTCCTATAATATAGCACATCTATTTCTCCATTCTCCCGATCTTCTTCCGAGGAATAAGGCCATTTATTACTACTGCCTTCTGCGTGAGAACAATGTTTCTCACACACGCGTTGTTTAACAACTTACGTAATTTGCACTCAAACCACAACTTGGTGGCCACGCCCCGTAAAAACGACAGAAAAAATTGCATGCTTTTATTGCGTGCTACTGTTTCATCCCGTATTCAGCTCGACTTTCTTAGTGGAGAATGTGCATTCTCTCCATTGCTAAATCCTCCCCAAGAGCCGGAGACTTCTAAGGCGCCGTTTAATCCACGTGCCCAAGTGTGTGTTTAGGATGGTGTTTCACGTCGCTGTTACGCCCCCACATACATACATTATGCCCTACATTACACACATTATATTCTAGGTTATACATGTATCTGTATATGATAGTGTGATGTCATGTATCATCACGTCCATATTAGCATGCGATCCAGAAACTTTCAATAATCACGCACGTGAGATATTCTTGACGTATCCTGCTCTTCCTGAAAACTTCATGTATGATGTTCTCGCCAACTATAGGTCGAATTCGCGTGCTAAATGCCAGCAGTGATGCAAGCAATGCCCAAGAAATCTCCACATCTATCCGTAAGTGTTTCATTTTCCCAGTGCCCAGCCATTACCAAGCAACACCTGGACATCACTCAGGCGGCCAGGAGCCTGTTCCTGTCTGGCGTCGCACAATAGCCGGCCCGTGACTGGGCAGAGGCGGGCCAGTTGTGGTTGACGGGGGCAGCTGTGCTCAGTCACAGGCGACCCGTATATAACGGCCAGGAGTTCTGCCTTGAGCATCACCTCACCCACCAACCAGCCATGAAGAGCTTCCTCGTCATCGCTGCCGCTCTGGCCTGCGCCACAGCCAGGCCCCAGCGTCCTGGGGGACCGGGACCCATGGGGCCCGGTTCCGGGTCTGGAGAGTCTGGAGAGATGGGTCCAGGATCCATGGGCCCGGGAGGCATGGGACCTGGACCCATGGGCTCTGGAGGCATGGGACCTGGACCCATGGGCTCTGGAGGCATGGGACCTGGACCCATGGGCTCTGGAGGCATGGGACCTGGACCCATGGGCTCTGGAGGCATGGGACCTGGACCCATGGGCTCGGAAGGCATGGGACCTGAAATGGAGGAGCAGGGCCCTGCCGGACCCGGGCCAGAACAGTCCGGTCCTGGCGGTGACAATGCTTGGCCAGAGTCCTGGAATGAGGAGGACTGGCCCGAATCCTGGAATGAGGAGAACTGGCCCGAGTCTTGGGATCCGGAGAACTGGCCCGAGTCCTGGGATCCGGAGAACTGGCCCGAGTCCTGGGATCCGGAGAACTGGCCCGAGTCTTGGAATGAGGAGAACTGGCCCGAGTCCTGGAACGCGAAGAACGGGCAAGAGTCCTGGAATGGGGGAAACTGGCCGGAGTCCTGGAATCCGGAGAACTGGCCCGAGTCCTGGGATCCGCAGAACTGGCCCCAGTCCTGGAATCCGGAGAACTGGCCGGAGTCCTGGAACAATGGAGCCGAGATCGCTGCCGGCAAGTAGAATATCCTACAACCACAACTGCCGTGCGCCAAGGCTGAACGGCCATGGCGAGCCAGCGCATCCTAGACCCCCAGCCAACCAGGAAGGAAGTGCTCGTAGCTCTTTGCAGTATGTGCATTGAAATGCACAAACAGCAGCATCGAGCCATCCAAGCTGAGAGACGAGCACCGTTCGTCCGGGTTGTCACTCTCCATTGTCCCGGATGTGTTCCAACCGCTGGCCCTCGAGTGAGGGTCCATTTACACCTTCGTTCCAGTCCCCTTGCAACCGCTGGTCTTTGCTTAAGTCTCACACGCTCTTCGTCAATATAATGTTCCAACCGATTGCCGCACGTTTGGATTAAATAGTGGTGTGAAATACAGAACGCGCATATCCCCGTGAGAATTTGAAAGGGGTGCAGCAAAACACAATACTTGATTCGGGGCCTTAATTTCACATTAGCAACAGCAAGAACGTATCACCACGTCATCACGTCGCTGGTGGCAGCCAACTTCGACCACACGTGAAAACGTCTCCATTTGTTCACACCAAAGAGAGCGTATACAAAAACCAATAAACAACGAACCATGCCACTGAAATGGATTAAGTCTGGTGATTGATCATGTCCAACTGGACAACGCAATTCCGCCAAGCGCCCTTAGATTTCCATGCAAAACCGGCATAAACGAGGTAGTTCCGATTGTGCGTTGAGTCTCACTCAGGTTGTTACCGAGCGGAAGGTTTGGAGCCATCTGCTGATATGACGACGTGCGCAGTGGTACGCTTGAACTGCGTGGTTCAAATCCTGAACATTTTTAAAGACTTGGCGCGAGTCTTTTGAATGGATGGGTTCTGGGACCAGAGCCCACGCCAAGCACGGCTTGTTGCACGAGCCATAAACTCCACCATCCGAACCCAACATTCCACGTCAGTGGTACAATTTGTGGCAACAGTTAATCACTTCGCAATGCTCGGCATGGTCCGCTCTGCCTCTGACGTCATCTAGCCTCTAGGAGCTGCTGCCATAGGTCGCACGGGTCCGACTCCGGATCTGGGGAGTCTGGAACCTTGACCCGTGGGCTCGGAAGCCATGGGACTTGGACCCATGGGTCCGGAATAGAGGCGCAATTTTCTTCAAAATATTAGCCTGAGAACCAGCCCGTCCCACTCCGATAGTGATCCAGTCCACAAAAGCGCGCTGGGCTGCAATGCTGACCTTCATTAACCTGCATGTAATAAGTCATTGCAATATGCACGTAGTCAGTTGTCGTTAATTTTAAGCCTATGCCATTGAGTATGCATTTAATGGCAACTCGCAATGCCGCCCAATACACGGCATTGTTCGGCTAACACTAGTGACGTTGCTTAGAAAGCAGCGATCAAGGCACCTGGCCAATGGAAGTTGAAATGCACCAAATTAGATATCAAACACTGTGGCGGTAGATTTTAAGTACAAATATGAAGGAAGAGGGAGGACATTAAATTTGTCTGTCACGGAAATGAACCGAAGATTTCCCCATTCCATGTCATCTCAGTAGACCACAGGCCAAGTCTTCTAAAATTGCAGGCATCAATTGATGGCTTTACATTAACACCGTACAAAATGCCGGACGCTTCACGTCATGGAAAGTCTCCTCATGCGCAAGCATGAGCAACATTCGACTGCGCCACAATCGCCACAAATTCATATCCCGCATTCAAGAGAGGCAGTCTCTCCTATGGTGTTTGCTGACCCTAAGTGGAAACGTGCAAAAACATCGCGTAAGTACCACATGGTAGCTTTGAAATGATCCACATCTCCCTGTTACCACTATGCATGTTCTCTACCATCGCAACCGTCGCGCGGTTTGTGTGATGCCGCGTGACAGCAAGGATAGCAATAATATGTCGTCTACGAATATGTGCCCCTTCAGTAATTAGTGCATTTAGCAATGCCACAAACACGCGCCATCTTGTTACATCCTGCAGAAAAACTCCTGCGACAATAAACAAACTGTTAAAATCCTGTCCAGGAACTTTTTCCACATTTCGCATGACCTGCTAAGAGCAGCAGGTCATGCGAAACGTATGAACGTTTAAATGTCTTAATGACGTTATAAGATGAGATGAAATTTGTTCAGACAGGGCGGCAGCTACATATGTTGGAAGAGGTGGACAAGTCCGATGGAACATGGGTCGAATGAAACATGGGTCGAACACTAATAAGAATCGGATTAAGAGATAAACGTATCTTATGTGGTCGAGGTCGTAGATTGCAGTTTCTTTAGACCTAAATAGAAACTCTATTCTACAACTTTTTTCAATTTCGAATCGTGTTGCGTATTTGATATACCAGTAATTGCGGGCTACGTTGGCAAGTGAGTGAGTGGAGTGGACAGTGAAAGGCTCAGAGCGTCCAGTGCATTTCATTGATCATGGATATGAATTGTGATTTGTGAGGCATGGTTTGTGCGCGAAACAAGAAATGTTGAGTGCGCCACGCCTTCGCAACTACAGCCGAGTGCAGTGTGTAGTTGTGTTTACACTAAGGACCCATCTCACAGCTGCTCAATGAAATCGGGTAAGTTCTTAACATTCGGGTTGTTCTTCTTTAGTTTTTCATTGGGACGTTTCATTAAAGCTGTTCAATTTGTGCAACATGGTTCATTGGTATGTCATGTCTGTCATAGGTATCCTGTCACTTGTGTTCTTGTTGTAAAAATGAAGATGGGACTTTTGTATACTTGTTTTAAGTTTGGCAGCGCACTCTGGTTTTTGGATAAGTACAAAACCTAACAAACAGGAAAAATGCATTATTTTGATTGTTAAAATTTAAGTATTGCCTATGATCCAGCCAAAAGCCCAAGGGTTCTTGCGGATCACACATTCGCGGGTTGACAGGATGAAATGCTGCCAACTTGTCCGTGTTCCTTGTCCAGATCGCATGTGACCCGCAATTGAGAGGCAGGACCCGCCGGAGCCAGGTGAGGACAGTCCGGTCCTGAGCGAAACAACTGAGAGGCAGGACCCGGAGCCAGGTCAGGACAGTCCGGTCCTGAGCGAAACAACGGAGAGGCAGGACCCGCCGGAGCCGGGCCATGACAGTCCGGTCCTGAGCGAAACAACGGAGAGGCAGGACCCGCCGGAGCCAGGTCAGGACAGTCCAGTCCTGAGCGAAACAACGGAGAGGCAGGACCCGCCGGAGCCGAGCTGGGACAGTCCAGTCCTGAGCGAAACAATGCTTGGCCAGAGTCCTGGAATGAGAGAACTGGTTCCAGTCCTCAGGCGAAAAAAAACTGGTCTGAGTCCTGGAACGCGGAGAACTGGCTCGTATGTTGGAACCCCGGGTCTGAGATTGCTGCCGGCAGTTAGAATATTCAAAACCACAACTGTCGTGCGCCAAGGCTGAATGGTCATGGCGAACCCAAGCATCCCAGACCGCTAGCCCACCAGGAAGAAGATGTTCGTAACTTTCTTCAGCATGACTCCGGCATAAGGTGTGGCCAACAGCTTCAATCTCGCGTTTGTGAGAGATGAATGGATATTGACGACCTAATTGGCGCTCAGCATTATCGAAGGCGTCGCTGTTTCTATGGTCATAAGTCAATGGCGACTGCTCTGCTGACCAGGTACAGGAGAGGCGCCGTGCCCCAATGGAGCAGCGCACGGCCCCGGTCTTGTGACCGGAAGATCGTGGGTTCGAGGCCTGCGTCCGACCAAACTTTGTTGCACCGGAGCCATAATCAGCATGGGAGTTTGCGAAGCTAAGGATGATTCCATGATGGCTGATGGTCACCATGACAGCCGACTTCTCAGGGCGCTCCGGCATCAGATGCAACTCTGCGGCCAGGGCCGTGGTAGCCGCGTACCCCGTGGAAAGTTCACGAGACTGAACGGGGCAGAATGACGTCATTTCCAACGTTGTTGGAAACAGACCATCATAAAACTGACGGGCCGATATGACAGGTAAGTGGCACTACCAGGCTGGTCACGGCTATGACCTAGGTACGATTACAGCCACTGGCAAGTGAGAGCCAGCTACTTGCTGACGTTGCACAAACCGCGCCGACCCGCAAATTAATTGGCTGCCAAATCAGATCAGAAATTCGAAATCATGCATACGTGTTTGGAGTGCTCCAATCATCCAGACAAGCCCACACCATGAAGTTGACATGACGCTGAAATTTGGGACTGAAGTGGGAGGCAGCAATGTAGCGAGCCTGGCTCGGCGGCCCGATACGTACCCATTTCGCCGCGGGCATGACGTGAGGCAGCGCGCCGGGTAGCGCTACGTACAATTTCATCACGGATATGTGGAGAAGCCTCAACTCTCAATCTGTGCTTAAAACTGTGGCTTTAGGTACTGGGGCACGCTGACACGCCGCCCTGATAGCTTCCTCGGCAGGAAAATTGGGTGACGTTAGGTGCAGTGCATGGTCCGTCAGCGTCTGAAGCTGCTATCATGCCAGCAAAGAGGAAATGGTGTAGACCGCAGCTCCGGTTCAACAACCTAGCTGCTGCTGGTCGCGTGGTTTGGTCGCCTTTTTCAGTTTTTTTCAGCAATTAAGCCAGTGCATAAACGTCAAAAGTGGCCTATACAACGAAATATCGACGAACAATCAGGTCTTCATCAAAATTTACGCCTTTGCCAGTAAGCAGCTGATCAGAAGCAATGGAAACACACATTACCAGCACGACTTCACGGCATGCGAGAACATGCCGGTTGGCCGAGGTGGGCACGCTCCCTGGCGGCAGCTGGGTCTGCGCCGTGGCGGATTTCCGGTGAAGTATTGCCTCTTACACAGTCATTTCAAATCACGTCGCGTTTCTCTGTATGTTGCATGTTCCACAACAGGCCATTTCAAACCACGTCGTGTCTCTCTGCATGTTGTGTCCTTCACAACAGGTCACATCGCGTGTGCTGCCCACAGTCAGCTGGCGCAGAGCGCGGCGGTACATACCGATGCCCACGTACGGGCTGTACTGGACGTTGCGCCAGCCGCGCTTCTCGTAATTGTGGAACACGCTGCGCTGTACCACCGACTTGTCCGAGCCGAGGAACGGCAGGCAGTACTTATTGATGACCGAGCTGCTGTGCAGGTTACCGCTGCGGACGGACGGCAGGTCAGCGGGGTCAACATCAGGCCGTTGCGGACAGGCGGCAGGTCAGCGGGGTCAACACCAGGCCGCTGCGGACAGGCGGCAGGTCAGCGGGGTCAACATCAGGCCGCTGCGGACGGACGGCGGGTCAGCGGGGTCGGAATCAGGCCGCTGCGGACGGGCGGCAGGTCAGAGGGGTCAACACCAGGTCGCTGCGGATGGACGGCAGGTCAGCAGGGTCGGACGGCAGGTCAGCGGGATCAGCATCAGGCCGCTGCGGAGGACAGCGCGTCAGCGGGATCAACCCCAGGCCGTGTCACCAGTGCACCGCCGGATATCCAGACTTGCGCCGGCCAGCCGACACAGTGCTCTTGGACTCCGTGCACAGTGGCAGTAACCGGGTCCCGCTCTGTATTCCGGGCGCACGCATATTGTAAGGAGCAGCCTGATTTGCGGCACGGTTTGCATGTTCCCTGAATATTCACCTGGTTCATGAAAAAATGCAGAAATGCATGCATTGATCAGCCACCAAACGCAAAACTAGAAGCGCATTTTATCGCCCAGAGGCCAACAGCCCTCACCAACGACTCTTTCCTCTACATCTGCTTGGCGGTGGCTGTATGTGTGCTGCATGCAAGGGATCATCGTCGGCGTTATTCGTACTTTCAACACGTCGACGGTCCGTCCTGGACGCAGTGATTCTCCATGGTCTGATCCCCAAGCACGGTCACATGTCAGCACGTGACATATCGAGCCTCGGACCGCCACTCACTTCGGCCTGCCACTCACCAGCGCTGCGACCGGCACAGCTGGTGAGGCTAGAAGAGCAGCTCCCCGCCAGACGGCAGAGAAGCTGACAATCCTCAATGTCCTCACAACACAGCCGCCGGACGAGCCCGGCGCACGTGCCGTGCGTCACCCCAGCAGCACCACTCACCGGTTCGGCAGCTTGTAGTCGGACCTGGGCAGCCGTTTGCCGAACAGCCGGCGGCGCAGCGGGCCCAGCTCGTGCTGGTTGGCGAAGCCGTGGATGGCCGACTGGTAGGTGGCGTAGTGGATGCCCCGGTAGCCCTGGCACGCCCAGAAGACACATCAGCGCTGCCCTGCAGCCGGGGCGTCAGCGGGGTTGGGCCCGGCCCTCTGGCCCCACCATCACGGCCACACGCCGCCGCTGGCGAGCGAGGTCTGCCCCGTGCACACGAAGCCGTCGATACTGAGACCCTCCCCACCTGGTGAGAGAGGAGCATACAGCCAGCTCACAGCACGTCTGACACCGACAAGCAGGCCGGTACATGGAAGTGGTCTCTAGAAGATGACCATGTTGGAGCATGAGGCGCGTATAAACGCGTGGAAGAGCCAGCAGTCCGCCGCACGACTGTTCCTCCCAGGCGGCCATGCTTCCAAGGGCAGGCGGGACCGCCGTTGGCCCGCTCGTACCTTGGGGCCAGTCTTGACGTTGAAGTAGCTCTCGATGCCGTTCAGGTCGCCGTCAAACTTGTCGTGCACGAACACCACGCCCATGTCGGCTGGGATGGAGTCGAAGCCACACGCGCCAACCACGTACACGCCCGCCTTCTCTGCCGCCTCGTGGTAATTCAGCTGGGTGCCCTCCAGGAACTGGCGGGCAGGGAGTGTTGGGATGTAGGGTGTTTGGCGCCAACGAGCGGCCACGGCCGACGCACGCGTCAGCTGTGCGCTCTCCCCGTACCCGTCGTGCGTCGCGTGGGGTCCCCATTGTCTACGCTAGCCGGCCTCTTTTGAAAGTGCAGGTTACTGCTATGCGTGCTTTTAGTGGTGCGTGTGTCCTCTCCGACGGGAACGGCTTGCATTTCCTGCGATGTGAACATTCTGAGACAAAAACTGAGGATGGCAACAACCAGTTACGCAGCCACAAGCCGCCTAAATTTCAGCTCAAAGCTCTCCGGCTCCAGCAGCAGGCCCACGTGACATTTGCCGCCTCGACACCTCTCTCTCTTATGATCCACAGAGTAGTCACAAAACAAATCATGTCCAATGGAGCAGCGTGAAAAATAGCTCAACAGATGAATCCCGTGTCGTCTAGCAGCATCAGGCGCATGGAGAAATGGCGTGCGTGCATTGCTCTTCGCATGCCGGTAAGTCTAGACAGGTGTGCGGCGACATCTGACAAATTGGCGACCCTACAGGGACCTAATCATGTCATCGATTGTCAAGATGACGTGCCTGTTTACATGCGCAGGGTCGGGTTAGAACACTACTTGAAAACGTCCGAAGTCACGAAGACGCCTTCCAAATCGAGTCGCAAAAAGCATTACTCCATGCTTTATCATATACGTCTGCCAGTCAGGCTGATGGGCCATTAGAGTCGGTCGTCCTTGGCGAGTGAACGAAAGAACGTCGTTTGCCACTGGCCTAACCCGCAGCCTCAGCGGTTCAACTCTAGTGCATTTCAGGCAACATATAAACATTCTGATCAATGCTAAGCCGATGCGTCGGTACCACAATTCTATAAGTTTGGCTCGCTCTGCTTGCACACTTCCTTAATCCTGACCGGCTGCAAAGCTCACTACATCTAATTAGAAACAGATGCCTGCGAATAAAACTCTTAAAGCGCCGTAGCAAACACATAACTGCTCTGGGCGGAGCGGTCCCCGGCGTCGCCCCAGGCCATCGACCCGCCCGATAGCTGAGCAGGGAGCAGTCGGCCAGGTGGGCCGCCCAGTTACGGCGCTAATGGGCGGCAGCCGGCGGTAATGGCGCGGACGACAGCTGCGACGGCCGGCCGGCAGCCCTGGGGGCGCCACCCGCCGCCGGCGGCCGCTCCGACCCCTCCGGCCGGCCGGCGCCACCCCGGCCGTCCGGCGGCACCCCGCCAGCCGCCCTCACCTGGGGCCTCGCCGCTGATGTCCACGTGACTGGCGCCGTTCGAGACGCACGCCTTGACCACCTGGTCGCCGAAGAAGCGGTACTGCAAGCAGGCCGGCCGCACGTCAGTGCCGGTCTGCACCGGCCGCCTCCAGAATGCATCGCGGCCGTAGCCGAGGTCGCGCATACCACACACGATACGTACACAACGAATGGTGAAAGCCGCATGCGCGCCCGATACTGAACGTCTTTACCACATGAGGGTTATTGGTACTTTGAGCGAATTACAAAGATGTTTGCTGGTTTCTAAGTGGAAACCAAGGTACGCCCAAGGAATTCTGGCTTGTATACTGAAATGCACTGCCTGGAACGATCCAGTTATACCAAACATGTACGTGACAGTGACTACAGAATGGTCAAGAAAACGGATTAAAGAAATCTGTGCACACTTTCGACTTCTCTCTCTCCCTCTCCCTCTCCCTCCCTCTCCCTCCCCCCCCCCCTCCCCCTCCTCTGTCTCTTCTGTCATGTCTCTGTCTCTGTCTCTGTCTCTGTCTCTGTCTCTGTCTCTGTCTCTGTCTCTGTCTCTGTCTCTGTCTCTGTCTCTGTCTCTGTCTCTGTCTCTGTCTCTGTCTCTGCTCTGTCTCTGTCTCGGTCTCTGTCCGTCTTGTCTCTGTCTCTGCTCTGTCTCTGTCTCTGTCTCTGTCTCTGTCCTCTGTCTCTGTCTCTGCTCTGTCTCTGTCTCTGTCTCTGTCTCTGTCTCTGTCTCTGTCTCTGTTCTCTTCTCTGCTCTGTCTCTGTCTCTGTCCTCTGTCTCTGTCTCTGTCTCTGTTCTCTGTCTCTGTCTCTGTCTCTGTCTCTGTCTCTGTCTCTGTCTCTGTCTCTGTCTCTGTCCTGTCTCTGTCTCTCTCTTTCCTGTCTCTGTCTCTGTCTCTGTCTCTGTCTCTGTCTCTGTCTCTGTCTCTGTCTCTGGTCTCTGTCTCTGTCTCTGTCTCTTCTCTGTCTCGTCTCTGTCTCTGTCTCCTCTCTCTCTCTCCTCTCTCCTCTCC